CTCTCCAGGGTCCTGGGGATCCTATAGGATCATGAATATGATGGCGTTTTAGAAGCTCCTAAGTGGTAAACCAATGTTAATAGAGCTTATTTTCTGGAGCTAAGAGAYCAGGTAGGAGCACAACATTATCAGAACTATTCCTTCATATAAAGTAGACMAAATTATCTAGGAAACCTCCAAAATTAGCACAGCTACAGAGGTACAGACCAGGGTTCAAACTTGGTTTGCTATGACTTAAGCAAGAGGCATCACCACCGACTTCTCCTGGATCCAATTAGAGTCTTAATTCTTGGTGCAAAAATTCTTCTGGCAGGAAATAATAAAGATGCTCTTTATTGGTGGTGGCGTCATTAACTGAAGTTCCTTGGGACCAGCTCTAATACAAATAGAAGGAAAGTTAATAAGTTTATTTTCAGATGTTTCTAGAAAATAAACAGACAATGCTGGAATGTGATCTCAGGAAAAAGAAAGGCCACCTCTACTAAGCCAGTACTATGTGACAGACCCTGAAGTATCTTCCTTACCCTCCTTCTCTTCTCTTCTCTCTCTCTCTCTCTCTCTCTCTCTCACACACACACACACACACACATAAGGTAAGTGAAATCAGGCTCAAAGAGGCCATATAGCCTCTCTGGGTACCCAATGAATAATGAGAAGAGTTTGAATCAAAAACCAGGTCCACCTAATACTCAAAGCCAGTGTTCTTTCTATTACATTGAGCTGTTGGGTGGTATTAACTGAAAAATCCTAGGCCCTGCCCCAGAAATATCTGTGTCAGCTCACTCTGGGACTCATTCCTCCACCATGGCCTTCCACTGGGGGCCCTAAGACTGGGATTACTAATAACAAAAACTGCATCAACTGATTCTCTCCCTTTGATGGCAGGTAGTGAACCTGAAAATATACATTCTCTTCCTCTGGCCCTCCATCAAATTCTACTCCCAGAACAGGGACCATTTGACAAGCTGTATATGTAGTGACACAATCCAATAAAATGAAATGAAGTAAACAACTTTATTTTTCACTACTTCCATCCCTTATTTGAATTGTGAATACTCTAGTTAGATTTCATACATAGCCTGTCTAGAAACTCATTTTATGATGAAATATGCCCTATGTGACTTGTGTTTGAAACTGCCTGGCTTACTTTCAACAGCCTGGGTTAAAGAAACAAGGTGACCGGCTTGTGAGGAACTTGAAGGGTCTTGCTTTTATGCCACGCCTTCTCACAGCAGCTGACCTACAGTGCAAGGAATTCTTTTGCAGAAARTAAAATATCTGCCCCAGGAACCATCTAAATCTTGCCAAGGGGGAAGCTCTCTTCTGTTCTGTAATATCATGTAATAATATAGGAAATGCACTGCTGATTTAATGTCAAGTAACAAAAGAGAMTATAGAATTGAGGAGTATGATCTCAACCACACATTATTTTAGAACGTCAGTCCAGAAGGAAATACCCTAGAATGTTAATGATAGTCATTTTTGTTACATAGGATTATGTATGCATTTTCTCATTTCAGAAACAAGCATTTATCACTTTTATAAAGTTAAATGAAATTACTATAAAAGGAAATTTTCTTTTTTTTTTTTTTACAAAGAAGCCTAAATATCATTCAGTGTTTCCTTCCTACCAACACTCTTATACAAGGATATAACTTTAAAAATACCGGACATAAGATTTTCTAACAAAAGAAATTCTGTTGATGAATACAGATAAGAAAAACACTGTAACCCAACAAATCAAATCTAATAGGGTACAGAAAACAGTACACTGTGACTTAGTAAGGTTGATCCCAGAAATTCAGCTCAGAAAATCTACCAGTCAAATCCACCACACACACACAAACACATACAAATTTATTATAATACAAAATGCAAAAGTAATGCATATATATAAAGGAAAATATGTACAATCATTTAAATAAACCAGAAAAAATCATATAGTAAATCCAAATGTAAAAAACAAATTCCTAGAATATTTAAAACAGAATAAAGAACCTTTAGAAAGAGCTTAAATATCACATTAAAATATCATTAAGAAGCATGTTAATTAATTGAGAAACAAAATAAGGACACCTACTATCATTAAGTACTATAAAGACAGGCCCAGCCAATGCAATAAGATAGGAAAAAAAATGAAGTACTGAAGGATTGGAACAAACACACTTATTTGGAAGTTGTATGTTGTCTCTATAGAAAAATCCAAGAAGAACTGAGAAAAGTATTAGTAAAATATTTCAACAGCATTATTATATTCAAGATTCAAAATCCATATGTAAGTGGTTTATTCCTTTTGTAGTTCTTGTAGTACTTGTTTTTACCAAATTAGCAACATTTGTTCAATAGAGTACCAATCATTTTGCTGTCAATACTGAAAAATCAAGAAATGAATGAATTCTCTTACAAGCACATTCTTTCTCTTTTCAATGCAGATGTATGCTTTCATGACACCCTGGTCCAGACAAGTATATCTGGAATAAAGAGTATTTATCACTATTGCACAATTACAAACAATCAGCCCCTTGACTATAAAACGGGATAAGAGGATAAAAAAGTACAATGAGGAGGAGGAGGAGGACAATGACGAAGCAGGTGTGTTACAGACTAAATATTCATATCCCATTAAGAAAGGAACACTTTGAAGCCCTAACCCCTAGTGAGATGATATTTGGAAATGGAGGCATTGGAAAGTAATTAGGATTAGATGACATTATGAGGATTGTGTTCTCCTGATAGGAATGGTGGCCAAATAAGGGGGTGAGGGGCCAGGGAGGGAGGTATCTCAATGTGTTGATTGATTTTGCTCTTTGTCTTCTATGTGAGGATGCAACTGTGTACAAGCCAGGAAGAGAGCCCTGACTAGGAACGGAATTTGCTGGCATTTTGAACTTAGACTTCCAGCCTCCAGATCTKCGAGAAATGCATTTCTGTTGTTTAAGCCATCCAATTCTATGGTATTTTGTTGTTATCCCAAGCTGATAGTGGAAAAGAAAAAAAGAAGGAGGAGAAGAGAAATGACGAAAGATGACAAGAAAGAGAAGGAATAAAGTGGAAGGTAAAGGGGACAAAGATGAGGAAGAAGAGGGGGAGGAACACAGCTAACCTTGGCTGAGTAATATATGCCAAGTACTATACAAAGTATTTTAATTGCCTTGTTTCTGTTAATTTCATAGAGAGTCTTTGAGGATTGTAATATCTTATTTCTATTTTGTAGGAAAGGAAACTGAGGCTCAGAGAAGTTATGCAGCTGTCTAAGGTCACACGCTGAGGAAGTGGTAGAGTTACAACTTGAACCGAGGTCAGCCTGTCCAGACTCTATGGTCTGAGCACTTTCTAGAGGACTTCCTCACATATTTTGTGCTCATTTTAAGGCTTCTTAGGACATGAATATGAGGAGGTTGTAAAGTGTGACCTTCAAGCTCCTGCCCCAAATCCCCAACCAAGCCCATGTCCTGAAAGTCTGAATCCTCTCTTCAGAATGCTTCCGATTTTGCATGTTAAAATTAAGAATGAAAAAATATGCACTAAGATAAACAATTTTTAATGCATTAAGTATTCAAGTGCATACATTTTGTGGAAAAAGTTTAAATTCGATGCAAAAATATAACTTGTCAGTTTCCACTGAAAAAGCATTTGAATTTCAGGACATACCAGGTTTCACACCCTCCCCCCCCCCATACACACACACACACACAAAGCAGTTCTCTCAAGACCTCTTCTCTCACCCACTTGCTTTCCTTTTATTATTCTTAGACCATGATGCATAGAAAACAGGGTTTAACGTTAAGTTTTAGGGATTGGAACAGACGGCCTTCAAAATATTTGTGTTTTGAATAAACATCAAAAGACAAATTTAATGCCCTTCCTGGGTTTCATCAATCCAGAGCTGTATATGTATTACACTTGGGTCTTCTGCTTTGGATAGTGTCAGGCAAATGCCATCAGACTGCACAAAGAGGCAGGCACAGTGATTGCCACCTATAGGAAGAAACAAAGGGCATCCTAGTTTGCAAACCCACATGGATGGATTTTTAGGTCTGAAAGAGAGTTCTTTCAATCCCTTTCCTTGGAACTGAGAAGACCTGGCAAGGAATGTGCTAAAACCACAGGGAGAAAACACACACACACACACACACACACACACACGTAGCTTACTTCTAATTCAGTACTAATGTACTGAAAGGTATGGTCATAAAGCCACAGGATCAAATTCCCCCCCCAAACATGGAAAGTGATAGGATTGCTTTTCTCTCACTCCAGGCATGTCCATCTTCCTTATCAGCTAGCTTTGTGAAAAAGTGGTCCAGCTCTGAAGCAGTTCCCAATACAGGTGACTCACAACGAGAGCACATTTCTAATAAAGCCAGATATAAACAAAGTGCTACAGACACAGAACAAAAGAAGGCAACAGACTCCAATTGGAAGAAAGAGCCATCCCAGGAGCCTGCACTAGATCAACCTGGAGAATGAGAAAGGTAGAAAAAGTGAAGAGCAAAAGGATTTCTGGCAATAGTCTAGTGGTTCTCAAAGTGTGGTCTCTGGACCAGCAGGACTAGCATCACCTGGGAACTGGTTAGAAAATGCAAAGTCTTGAGCTGCTCCAGACTTATAGAACTAGAAATTCTGGGGCTGGAATTCAACAATTTGCACAATAATAAGCCCTCGAGGAGACACTGATGCTGCCTCTGAGAACCACTGGTACACAGAATGGTGAACTACCACAGGGAGAATGCCTGCAGTCTAAACAGATTGGGGAGCTAGAGAGATGCTGCTGGAGAGATACTGCTGGAGGGATGGATAGAAGGCATATCTGGAAGGGCTTTGGAGATCCTGGAAAAGAATTTCAGATTTTAACCAATGAAATATGATGAGTACAGAAAATAGCAAATCACTTAAAAAATAACAATCATAAAGATATTTGTTTATCTCAGTCCATAGATTAAAACCTCATTTCTGCACAGAAAAGAAGCCACCCAAAAGAGAGCAAATTGGGTCCCTACCTTTCTTTCTGGAGTCTTTCTTGGCGCTGGTTTTCACAGCTACTTGAAGTTCTGTCTCAGTTGACATCCTACTTAATCCTTAGTCCACTTCACACAGATCCCGGACCTCGGCCAGGCTCATCGAGGACTCCTCTCCAAGAGAAAGGCTCCTCCCTTCAGAAACGGCACCCCGAGCTGCACACGTCATTCACTCTTTGGGAGTGCTGTAAATCAAGGCAAGAGAACATTCAGAACAATCCTTCTTTGGAAATCAAACAGAAATTGGGCAGGGGTTGGGGGCGATGGATGGCAAGCCTACAAATAAAAAAAAAAAATCTTGTTCTTCATATACAAACTTCTGGAATGCATAGGATTTATACAGCAACTCACACGAGTGGCTTATCTGCAAGACTGGTCTCGAACTGGGTAACTCAAAACAGATTTGTTAAACTCTAATTTTCAAGAGGGACAAAAATGCACCTCTTTGTTTCCCATGTTCCTTGTTGTTAAGCACTAGATGCCACCCAGAAAATACTGCACCGACGTATCTCCTGGTCAGCCCTGTGGAGTCATTTCCAATGATGGGGCACCCATCCATCAGCCAAGCTTGATCTGAGCCTGGGCAGCTAAGGCAGATCAAAGGGGAGTGATCTCCAGTCAGTCCCTCACTGGCAGGCCTCAGAGAGGACATGGAGTTGACATGTAATTGGGCTCCAAGGGTAAGGTGACAAATGGGGCTGAGAAAGTCTCCAGCAAGCCAATTTTTATGTCAGCTTTCCCCCCAGCTATAAGAGCAGACAAGCATTTAATGGGGGACAGAATGAAAAGGAGTGGGCGGATGCACTTTTCATTCATTCATTCATTCGATAAATATGCATCCCACAACACTAGGTACTGTTCAGTCCAGACACTGCTGGGAGGAGAATCATGATAATTATAATAATGTGGCCACTTCAATTATAGCTGCTATTTACTGTGCACTTACTAGATACTATGTGCTCTGTTTCTGCTTCACATACATTATCTCATTCGATTGCAATTAAATTGAATAAATATATTCCGTTTGTCAATAGTCTTTCCCAGGGACTACCTGAGAGTTACATCTGAGAGCTCCACTGAACACAAACATTTTACCAGTCATCCGCTTTTGATGAATATTAACAAAAAGCAACCAGAAATAGAGGAATGGATCTTCAAATTGTGCATCCAATTCTTCACTTCTTCTACAGAATGAGAACTGCTTAATTTAAGAGGGTTGACCTTGAATGCCAGTTTCAGTTCAGAAAGAATAATGACCTAAACCTCTTAATCATGACAATTAAAGATGGCTTAACTAGAAGGTTTAATATAAAAGCCACATAATATTACAGTAAAGCTTACATATGAGGAAATTTCCATTTTATGCAAAGATACCTGAGTTAGATTTTTGTTTTAATAAGGTTTTTTCCCCCCAAAGGACMACAGTCCTGGATGAAAGTACTTGAGCTAAAAGATCTAAGGTTACAACTAAAGAAAACAGAAAATTATCTTCACAGAATGGGCATCACAAAATCCTATATGGAAAAGGAGAATGCATGCAACATCTGCATCATCTCCTGTGTGTACTGTTTCACTAACCCCAACCCTCCCAAGTCCTCCTCCCTAAAGCCAACATCCCATGGGCGATCCCATGGTCACATATAGACATAATCAAATTTTACTGATGATATTTACCATTTTATCATGGCAAATATTTACTAGGGCTACTCTGAGCCAGATATGACCACTGGCTCCTTCAGGTAGACAGACATGCATTGTGCTACCACGCTGGCCCAGAGGACATTGTCAAAGCCGAATTCCTATCCACAAAGAAGCTCAACTTCACAGCGGTGTCAGCCTTACAAGGGTCCACAATACACTGTAGGTGACCAGAACTAAACAGACACAGATAATCAGGCACATTGGGGCCCAAAGGCACAAGTATTCACCTTTGCTTATAAAAGTCAATACAGCTGCATAGAGCATAAGCCCTACTATGCAGGACCTTGAAGAATAAGGATTCAGCCAAATGGATATGGGAAAGGATGAGGAGGCTCTCACCAGGCAGAAGAATCAACACCGGCAAATACGAGGAGGCTTGACCTCAGCTACCAAATTAACAAAAGGAAGTACAAGGCCAGAAGGAAGTGACACATTTTCCCTCCTTCCTGTATCTTTTTTGTGATGCTTTCTATGGAATCTCCTTTCTCAAGTCCATCTGGACATTCAACAGACCCTGGAGGGTTCAGTTCAAAGAAAAATTGCCGTAGACAGAAAGACTTTTCTGATCCTTCTGTTAAAATGGAATTGCTCCCTACTTAGGTTATGACCCGATTTCTGCCCAGGACCCTATTTCTGGCTGTGGGCTAGATGTGGGATACTGAGGACGTTCTCAACCCCTCCTGCCTCTGTTTCTTCATGTGTACACCAGGCTGATATTGCCAAAACCAGGGAGCTGTTGTGGAAATTAGATAGAATGACACATTCAACTCCATCAAAAGCCTGCTTGGAACACCACTGGCAAGAGCTTAACATGAAATGTAGAGGTTCCTGTATTACTTGTTCAAGGCCACATGGCTGGTATGTGACGAATGTCACATATGGACCTTAGAAAGGAAGAAACAAAGATAGGATAAGTCTGCTGAAAAAAAAAATACTGTCGGAAGTGGTATTTTTTTAATCTAAAACCTTTTTCCATCATGTTAGTCTTGTCTGTACATAGAAGGAATTTAATTAATACAGAAAAGAGTTGAAGTCCATGAATTTTATGTAATTTCATAAGTCAGTATTTAAATTTATAGAAATATAGATTATTTTAAGAATATAAAATAATTTTCTTAAAAGTCAGTATATAAAATTGGATTAACCCACAATATAACACCTCCCCGTATTCCATGGGTACACTTACAGCCATTTGCTCAACAAAGCATGATTGTGTTCAAGTGTTTTAAGCATTACTTGTACATTTCTGAAGTACATGCCGATGTTAATTCTGAAAAGAAACACTAGCAACATTCTGAATGAAACTTAAATCCGAAAGCTACAGTATAGAGAGCGTACACCGTATGGACCCCGAAATCCCCTTTAATTTTCCAAAAGCGAGAGGTTGAGCAAAAGCTGTGAAGTAACTCCAAATTATTTAGGAAATTCATTTCTTTGTAATTAAGGAGATTAAAGTCCTCCAGGGCCAGAAACCATGTGACAACTCAAATCATTTTTCCCCACTAAAAGCTGTGAAACCCTATCAGTTAAATTCAGGCTCGTCGAGAATTTTGAAATGCTTCAATAATGTTTCTTTGCTCCACACAATCTGCAGTAATTTAATATTCCTGAAGTGTGTCAGGTTTTTTATAATGAGCTCTTCAAATCTAAATGTGAATTATGTAACATTCCACTACAGACACATTCTGTCCAGTGAGCTGCTTCTAAAACGTAAAACTCCATGTTCAGCGATGGGGTGGGGGCTGAAAACACCAAGCCACAAAGCAGAGAAAACAGATCTGCCTTCTGGAGAAAACAAAGCAAGAAGGTCTGAGCAGCTAGAACAGAATAATCATATCCTAAAACCCATACTATCCCACAAATCTGAATTTTCTCTCCCCCCACCCACCAATCTACTCACAGGATCCTAAGGTGAAAATGCTCCTGGTTGTTGGGAGCCTTTTATTTGAGCTTTTCAAACATTTCTAATTCAAGTCTTCCAACAATTTTGAAGTGTTAAATGTTATCATCTTCATTTAGCAAATGAGCAAACAGACACAGGCCATTGTAGGAGCTTATCCAAGATCCTAGAGCTAGGAAGTAGCATAGCACAGGGCAAAGCACAAGCTACTTCATTTCAACGTCACTCCAGACCTCTTCAGATGCCCATGAATGCATGAACAAATAAGCAAAAAGTGGTCTTTCTGTACAACGGAATGTTATTCGGTTGTAAAAGAAAATGTAGTACAGATTCATGCTACAATACAGGTGAACTGTGAAAACATAGGGCCAAATAAAAGAACTTCAACAAAAAAAGAAAGAGGCTGCATATGATATGATTCCATTCATATGAAACATCCAAACCAGATAACTCCATGGAGATAGATGAGTGGCTGGGGCAAGACAAATGCTGGCCTGATAGTACAGGTCTGCTCTGGGGATGAAGAAAATATTTTGGAAGTAGACAGAGATGACGGTTGTACAACATTATCTGTAATAAACACAATAAATAATGTTATGTGAATTTCATCTTTATTTTTAAAAAATGAAACACAATATATCCCAGCTTGACATAAGCTTTACATGATAAAGTAGGGACAATGCAAATTCTAGATAAAAGGACAATGCAGCCCTAAAAACCAGATGAGGAGGTAGTCTTCCCAGAAACAGGACTTTGGGTTTGTGTGGCAGCAACTGCATGTATTCAAAACTGCACATCACTACCTGGTTTGCAATGTGGGGCCTCTTACACAGCTTCATTCAAAGGACAAAGCACAGGCCATTTATCAACAAGGTTCAAAGGTTTCCCATAGTACAGGCAAACAGTCTCAGTTTCCACATCAATAAAATGAGAATTCCACCACCAGGTATGAGAGATTTGGAGGAGAAATGTGATCTGTGCAACTTGAAACACCCAGCACCATCTATAGCATACTACCTTTTGCATAATAAAGAAAAAGATGATTCTGCTCATCTTTACAAAAGAAACACAGGACAAATGAGACAAACCAGTATTCCTACATAGAGAGACACTGGGTTATACGGTGACTGGGTGGCAGGTGGAAAGGATACGGCAGAGGGTGACTGTTATAATTTGGATTCCCATTCTTATGTGTATTGAAGGCTTGGTCCTCAATGCAGTAATACTCAGAGGTTCCATTGTGGCTTCATGATTTGAATGGACTATTGGAAAGTGGTGGAATATGTAGGAGATGAAACCTTGTTTTAGACAGTAGATCCTTGGGAACAAGCCCTCAGGGACTGTGTCTTGTCAGCAATCCCTTCCTCATCTGCTCCAGCTGCTCCTATTTCCATAAGACTGTCAGCTGTACTCTATCATACCCTTCCATCATGATGTCCTGCTTCACCTCAGGCCCACAACAATGGAGCCAGCCAACCACAGACTGAAACCTCTGAAACTGTGTGCCCAAATAAATCTTCCCTTTTACCATCTTGTTTTCTCAGGTATTTTGTCATAGAGACAAAAAGCTAAAAGGGATATTTT